CAGCCCCTAAAAATATTTTTAAAATGCAAAATGAATTAGGAATATTTTTGTGAACTACTTATGTTGTCATCTCTTCTACAAATTGTTAAGTGAGAAAAGAGAAAGCTGAGAAGAATGGTTATAGGATGCTGCTCTTCAAGTCACAGAACAGTATGAATGGCCATTTTTATATTGGAAGGGAATTATGAGTGGACACACTGAACAGTAATGTAAATGGTTATTTTTAGAAGACAAAAGAGAAAAACAGATACACGCATGGGGAGATCTATGGAATTTACATGGATTGTACTTAGATTCTTTTTTTGAATCAAGATACTGTTTTAGGTAACAAATGTTAAACAAAATTAAAAAGAAAAATCTCATAATTTTTAAAAAGTATAAAATAAATGAATAGCTATATTTAACAAGTTAATGGTATTCATAAAGAAAGAAAATTTCTTCAAATGGTCTAATTTTTGTTGAATTTGTAGTGGGATATATTCTTAAACAATAATCTTCAAATGTAAGCTGTATTCTGTATGTTTAGAAGAAATTTTGCTTTTATTCTGGAGCTGTTATACATAATTATAAGAAACAAAAAGTAATGACAGGAAACAAAGATTTCCAACATAATAAAACAAAATTAAAGAAGTTAAGCAAAACTTTGAATATTCAGTTCATAATGGAAATACAATTATGGACTCATTTTCTTCCAAAAAGCTACATTTTAGATCATCACCAGTGAAAAGGTCTAGGCATAATGATGTCTTTGACCACAAGTAGACACCTGCCTTGTGATCTCTCCATGCCTTTTCTTCCAAGAGGAGACAGGAAGTCTTGAAAAAATGCCTATTAGGTCAAGGTTAAGAAATGCATAAAATTATCTTTGGTTGTCTTTTGATTCTAGAAAGTCGGTTAGCTACTTAAGACTAACAGGATAGTGCCAAAAGTACCTCAGTAGAAAGATTCTGCTGCAAGAAGTGCATGCAATGTGAGGTTAAAAAAAATCATGGGAGAGGCTGAAAAGATAGCTCAGTGGTTAAAAGCACTGTTGGCTGCTCTTGCAGAGGACTCTGGTTCAGTTCTGAGCATCCAAGTGGTGGCTAGCAACCATCTGTAACGCCAGTTCCAGGGAATCCAATGCCCTCTTCTGGCCTCTGCAGGCATTGATTGACACAGATGCACTTATATACAATACAGGCAAAACATTCATACACATAAAATAATAAATTTAAAACAATCAGATGTAATAGATTAAAATACATGATGTATTTAAAAATATATGGATTTAAAAGATATTATAATAAAAACGTAGCCCAAAAATGGACTTAAGAGTTTCTTATTGATATTGCCATGATACCAGTGTATTACTTTGCAAATTGATAAAGATTAGAATACTTTTCTAACCTTCCCTATACAAACTGCATTTTAACTAGTTACTCAGTGCAAGTTCTTTACAGAACAAGTTTAGTTACTACAAACAAAATTATCAAAATTATTTGACTAGAAAAAAATGTAATTCTTCTATTCTTCATGAATAGTAGCCCTAAGTCACGATCATACTAGTAGCTAAAATCATCAGATGAGAAAACCTCAGGGAGGGCTTCCTCCTGGAAAGGTTGGGCTGACCCTCTGACCCACTGATTTTTAGCAACACTGAAATTGTACTTCCGGATCAGAGCCTTCTGCAACAGAAGGTGTGCAGCAGAAACCACTGGTGAACTTGTTTTGCCAAGGAGGGAAAAAGAAGTAAAAGAACTGAACTTTAATTAAGCCTCTAGATCTAATTACTATCTTACTGGCTTTATGGCGAAAGAGGAGAATGGTTAGATGACACCATGGGGAAGCAGTTATTCACATATAAAATTTCCATGGGGAAAAAGAAGACGGGAAGCTTAAACAGCCTTTGCAATTACAGGACTTGTCAGAATTGTAATTTGTACATACCTATTATAAAAAGACATCTTTAAGACAATAAAGATATTTTTTTTGATATGAGCTGACTTATAGGATATTAAGAAATTCTAATTTTTATGTGGATGTATTAACCCTTAAAAAAACCCTTAAAATAGAATGTGTTATTTGGAGATGTATACCAGGCTATATAATATGGTTACTGGGATTTATCTTGCAATTTGGTGTCAGGGATGGAAGTTAGGATGCGTATAAGCCAAGGATGGTGAAATAGTCATAACTGCTAATGGAAGAAAGACACCTAGAGACCCAGGACTCTATTACATCTAATGCCTACTGTTTTTGTTTTTGTCTTTTATTTGTAAAGTGTGTTTCTCTGGAGTTAGACTAGGTCATCCTGTTTCCATTTCTTTATTAGTTGTGTAATACTGTGTCACATATACTTCTGTAACCTTCACTTTTACTTCCTCATTTGTAAACTTCTACTTCATAGAATTATAGAAAGAATTACTTAAGTGCATTGAAAATACTGAAATAGTAGCTGGCACATTAAAAGCATTTCTATCTCTGTTACTATTACTTACCTGTTACTTCTAGGAAAATGTCTCAAACTTTGAGATAGGGCAGTTGAGTCTTGTTAATGGGGTAGGAAAAGTGACCACAGTGCTAACAATAAGAGTATGCTTTCATTATAAAATCAAGAACACTCTATGACCTTGGTCATCAGCATCTGCAACCTTAAGTGTGTGCAGTTGTTCTTTCTTCCCTATCTGGATATTCTTTCATCCATTCCACTAAAAATTTTATTACTAGACTTTTGTACATTGCTGGTACAGGAATAGTGACCTATTTGAGAAAAGCTACGTAATGACTAAAGGAGGGCTAACAACTGGTTGTTTTGACAAGACTGGTGGTGTACTAGTGCTTTATGAATTCAGGAACACATGGCTTTGGAGCCTCATCTAGGTGTCCCCTTGGAGTCTCATCTAGATGTTCTCTTGGAGTCTCATGTAGTTGTCCTCTTGGAGCCTCATCTATGTGTCCTCTTGGAGTCTCATCTGGGTGTCCACTTGGAGCCTCACCTAGGTGTCCTCTTGGAGTCTCATCTCGGTGTCCCCTTGGAGCCTCACCTAGGTGTCCTCTTGGAGTCTCATCTAGGTGTCCCCCTGGGGTCTCAGCTAGGTGTCCTCTTGGAGCCTCATCTGGATGTCACTGGAGCCTCACCTAGGTGTCCTCTTGGAGTCTCAGCTAGGTGTCCTCTTGGAGTTTCATCTGGGTGTCCTCTTGGAGTCTCAGCTAGGTGTCCTCTTGGAGTTTCATCTGGGTGTCCTCTTGGAGTCTCATCTGGGTGTCCTCTTGGAGCCTCACCTAGGTGTCCTCTTGGAGTCTCAGCTAGGTGTCCTCTTTCAGTCCTACAGGTGCTCATGTAATTGCCAAGTTTTCAAAGAAACTTCTTGATGAAGAGATTTCTGTTTTTTCTGGATTGGAAATGCTGCCTGTCATTAAAGGAGCTTTTATTTCTGTGTGTCGTCAGATGTATAGTACATGTGAAGGCTTACAGGTGTTACTTCCTTACAGTCTGCATGAATCTATAATGAAGGCATGGAAGAAGGTAAGTATTTGAATTCATTTTTTCTCCATGCAGATCTTAATTCATTTATAAGCATCATTGTAATCATATACTGAGAACAGGGTATTTAATGAGGCAAGCATCACTTCTTTAGCATCATGGTATTTGGAAGGCATAATGCTTCTTACTTTGACACAAGAGAACCCCAGGACCTCCTCATGTAGACTGCTCTTCTAAGCCTTAGCTGATTATCACATAATTTTATTTTGGTAGCAGAAAGTTTTGTGAATTCTCTTTTGAATAGACTACATTTTTCTGTGAAAGTTATTTCTGAGCAACTTTTAAAGAAAGATAGGTTTTGTTATGAGTATTAAGAGCCTAATGTAGCAATACCATGTAAAGTGTGTGTGTGTGTGTGTGTGTGTGTGTGTGTGTGTGTGAATGGATTACTGTCTTTTAATTTCATTTAATATACCTTATTTATAAAATACTTTCAATAATACTTAACAATCAAATACTTTATCTTGAAAAGTAATTGAGTTAAAATACATTAAGGATAAAAACCCCTCAGAACTACAGCATAAGATATCTTATGAATAGTGTTATCAGTAAGAAAAACAATAATGCAAATGTCCTTTATTTTTTAAAGACAAGTTTGCTGTCAGAAAGAATTGCTACTCCAGTAGAGGGTTCTGATTCTGTTTCTTCAGTGAGCCAGGAATGTCCTGTTACGTAAGTACAGTTGTTAGTCAGCTATTACATTTGTTGAAATCGTTTTAAAATTACTGAAATGTAATAGAAAACTGGTAAAGATATTTTCCACAAAGTTAAATGTATATGTACATGTTCAAGGAAAATTACACTTTATAGAAGCGCTAGAGATTATGTGATACATGGAACCATTAACAAATCTAGCAGTATTTATTAGACTTGCTTCATCCTATATTTATATATTGTGCAGTGAGCTTGGGATATTATAAAATACTTTCCAGAATATTGGAAAATATTTTTCAGAAAATTTGGAGAATTAACAAACAGTAAAATTGTAAAGTTAATTAGAATGGTCAGTAGACGTAAAACATTTTTAAATCCTAGTGAAGTCTATTTATACTTTTAAGTTTTTCAAAATGTGGTGAGTTCAGTTTAATTAGATTTTGGCATTTGAAAATGATTTAAACCAGCATTTAAGTTTAAGAATTTGTGTTTCTTTATAAATGTTAATAGGATGTGATTATCAGATTAGAAGGAAAGATACTTTTTTTCAATTAAGATTTACATGTGTTCCAAAATTTTCTTTTAGTTTAAAAAAATTTGGGGTGGATTTATTTATTTTTGTTTTATATAGGTGAGTGTTTTGTGGGTATGTAAGTGCACCTGTGTCATGCAATGCCCACAGAGGTAAGAAGAGGTTGTCGGATCCCCTAGAATTAGGGTTATGGATCGTTATTATTTGCCATGTGGGTACTGGGAATTGAACCCAGGTCCTTTGCAAGAGCAACCAGTGCTCTTAACCTCTGAGCCATCTCTCCAGCCCTGATTTCCTTTTATTTTTAATTGAATGTTGGCATAATCTGAAAAAATAATTGGTATATTCTTTGTTAAATAAATGTTGAATTTGAATTTATTTGTCTTTATAGGTACAGTTAGTTTAACGTAAGTCAGTTAAACAGAAAGTTTTCAATTTCCTTAAAGGTTTAAAATAATTCATTCATATATATATATATTTTCTAATATGTTTATCAAATGTATATATACTGCTGGATATTTTCTTTCATTGAATGTATGAACAAAACATTTCTGTCATTTACTTTTTAGTTTCATTTGCTTTCATTTTAAACCCTCTAGCATTTTATCAAATTTTCATTTCCATTCATGGATTTATTTTCACTCATTCATTCATTAGACCATGGCTTTTGCTAAGTTCAGAGATGGATATAAACCTTAAGGAGGATGTGTGGAGCAGAACAGAAATAAACAAATACATCCTGGCTACATAGTGTGCTAAATATTTGGTTTGGGTTATGCAGAGTCCATTGGGATCCAGTGTGCAGGGGAAGAATTCTCAGAAATTATTGCCAAATCAAGTTATAAAGAATACATGGCTGATAACTTGTAATAAAAGGTGGGATGTGTTATTCCACATAGAAAAAATAGTGTGGTCAGAAGGCTGGAAGTGATGGGCAGCATGATTAATGTATTTAATGTTTTACTTTTCAGTAATATTTTTTAGATTCTTATGGTAGAATGTGAGAGAGCTAATTAATAAATCATACCTCACTGACTCACTTGTGAATTTTGAACAAGTTAACAAAAATGGAAGATGTCAAGTAAATCAAAACACTCAATAACACAGCCTTCTTAATGTTAGACCAGTTTGGTCCAGTCACAATCTACAGGTGACAGCATAGGCTTTCTTCACAGGCAAAAATTTATTGCCATCAAACCTCACTGCATAGTCGAGCAGAGCAGAATGAGCATTTGGTATAGAGAGCTGTTTTCTGTAGAGGAAGTGGACCAGAGCAGAGGTATGCTTATCCAAGTAGACTCTGATCACCCTCCAAATCTCCCAAATTCATCTGTCTTTCATGTGAAGTGAGAAGCAGGCAACATTGGCAATAACCTACAAGATATAGGTGTAGGAAAGGCTTTTCTAAACTGGACATCAATTGCTCCGGAAAAAAGGTCAAGAATCAACAAATGGGACCCCATTAAACTAAAACGCTTCTGTACATCAAAGGAGGCAACCAGGGAAGTGAAGAGAATACCCACAGAATGGGAGAAAATCTTCACCAGCAACACATCTGACAGAGGTTTAACTTCCAGAATATATAATATAATGGCCTCAAAAAACAGAGAATCAAGAAAGGAAGTATTCCAATTAAAAGATGGGCTAAGGAGCTGAAC